GCCAAAGACTTGTGCAAATGGGCTTCTTAAAACCTAAACTAATGGGCTACCAATTAATCCAAAACCTAAAATCTAATAATCCAACTACCACTTGGACCATCCACAAGTTTAGGTTATTTCCAAGTCGAGTCAAGTCCATGATGTCGATAAATAATCCAACAACTGTTTTAAATTATCGCTCGGATTATTGGATATCAAAACCCAGGCTTACAAATACATGCTTATTACTTCGTATTAGAGTTATGCAATGTAACGTGATTAATAAGTACATAACTAGTATATAGAATTGTTTTGAATGATGTCCTTCGTAGTCCCTCACCTCACCAATGCAACATGGAATGGTTCTAAATGATGTCCTTCGTAGTCCCTCCACTCACCAATGCATGCCAATCACTGCTCGACCCACCTAATGCGCAAACCTACAAGCATTTGTTGGATCTTCAATTACTCTCCACTTATTATTCGTTAATTATGTTAAATCGATAACTTATCACTAAAATTATTATTTAAACTCCAATCAAACATTCACTAACAAATCAACAACTGAACTAAATTATCTTAATTATTAATGCATATTCGCATTTATCAACAATTTATTGTATAGATATTGTTGGAAAAAATGAGTAAATGACTCACTTTTGGCACAATTTTTGATGGGACTCGTTGCTTAAATTTGGAAGATCAAAGTTGATCCATGTTCTCTTTCGTGAGAGTATCAAAATCATATATTTACTTACCAAAAATGAAGCTCGGGTGAATGAGAAATTGAAGCTCAAAGTTTACCATTGGAAGATGGTTCATGTGAGAAAAATTGAGTTTCCCACATAGGAAAAATATGAAAATAAGAATCACTTTAAATATGATAGCACATTGGAAGGGTGTAATCATGTATAGTACAGAGGCTCTCTCCATGTGCGCACACGCAGGGGGTACAAATCATGGACCGAAATAGCATTCAGACCTTGAACTTGTATGCGGGCACGACTTGCGTACATGAATGTCGGACCCAACGGAGCAAAATTGGTCCGATTGGAGTGTCCACGTTTTGCAAATTTTTTTTAATTTTTTTGCTTTCTCCACTGACATTTGAGTTTATGAAACTTCTAAAACTCCTAGAAACTGAAGTGACTCCAATATTTATTGCTATAGAGTTAATGGCAAATTTATTTATATAAATTCTCATTTTCCAGCAATTCCAGAACACACGAAAATAGTGCATATACAAAATACAAAGAAAGATTGTTCTACATCACAATGTAGTTCAGTCTGTCTGCATACATAATTTTTCTGTCAGCATCGTCTTGGTGATGATATTGTTCGGATATTAATCAATTCGTCAGAGTAGATTCTGCAGTGCTCAGATTCTACTGGTCTACCATTGTATCCTTAGAAACAGACGCTTGAATTAAATCTCAAGCGCTTACGGTTAGGGGGCGAATCTGTTTTAAAAAAACAATGCTCGCACAGCCTCGAGTTGAAAGTTCATCCGTTATTTATATATTTCTGCAATTTATTTGTATGATTCATATAACTTCCAGTTTTATTATTTTGTCATTCCATTTATGTTTATTAAAAATTAATCTATGTTATTTGGCCAACTAGATTAGTTGATCAAATTAATTTGTTTATTCTATTGAAAATTAAATTTGCTAGATTTTATCTTGTTCACTGCATATACGCGCCCCGTTCGACCCCCATTCTCATTCTCATTCTCTCTCTCTCTCTCTCTCTCTTTTATTTTCAACCACACAATCTTCCATAAAATAATATTACACGCAAATCAAAAATTTTCATTCTTTTTTAACCACACATTATTCAAAAAAATACTATTCAAAACATTAAAATTTGGCAAGAATAGGAGCTAAACGAGGGCACGGTGTTCTGCAATTTTGGTATGTGTAAGGCAAAATCAGTATCCAAAGACAATATATGTATATACGGTAGACAACATATACTGTATACTAAGCTATTGATATACGGTATGCTGCGAATACGGTATACGTATATATGATATATTGCATATACGATATGTATAAATTTAATATGTAAAGTTTATGTACGATATGAATGAATTCGGGTTCATCCACTGCACTAAAATCCAACCAAAAAAAAAATACGAAATTAAACAAGAAAAATCAAACTAGAAGCCAATCAATTCTGATCATGTCATTTCACTGTACATAGAACCATTTGTTACTATTCGAGAGATTTCAAATGGTATTCTATTAATATCTTATCAAACCACGTTCACCCCAATTATCATAGCAAAATTTATGTGGCGACAATTTTATTTTCAATTTCAAGTGAATTTTCATTTGTATGCGTAATTTTACTTAGCGAGACATAATTAGTACACAAGTGTTGAGCTCAATTGTCACAACACAACGTAATTTTTTAACTATTATAATTTTTTGATATTTGTAGTTTTCATTAAACTGTTAAAGTGTTAAGATTTGAGATCCATCTTAATAAGGTTAATCTTATTAAGTGGAGAAGTTCAAGATTTTTATAAATTGATATTTATTTTGGTATTAAATGAATGTGGGATAACACATTCCTTAATAGGCCTCCTCAAGATGGTGGCTCAATTGAGCAAACCAATCTTGAAATTCATGTAGTGGCTCAGATATTATGTTAAGACTTGAGGTCCGATGGACCTCAAGTCTTAATATAAAGTGTTTATAAAATCAAACAATACAATATATAAATTTTGTAATTTTTTTTTTTTTTAATATTGCTCTGTGCATTGCTCTAATAATGTTGAATAAATAGTAAAAGGTTTATTTAAGTTACTTGCATGTTTCGGTCCTCGAAAAGAATTTTATTTGGTTATTAATTATTAATGGTTCATTAATTTGCAACTGTCACCGACCAAATCGCACCAAAACCAATAAATAGGACCCACAAAGCGTGCCCTGTACTACTAGGCACCACATGGCGCTCCCCTGTAGGTGGGGGGCCTTCTAGTAACTTATAGTTTAGTTCATTGGTCTAAACTTCGAAACGTGTTTAGGATAAGAAAAAGATAAATGAGTACTAAGAACTCAAACTTTTACCCCTTAACAATCCTGCTGACTATTTGACTTTTACTGCTTATTTATTTAGTAAAATCAAAATAAGAAGAGTGGATAAAATGAGAATTGATGTGTTAAAGGATGACGTATGGACTTAAGTTTGGTGCTTTAAGCTCACGAAACTGTACTGAAATCATTCAATTTTTGTTATCTATTGTCACGATATATAGAACTATTTAATCTTATTCGAGAGATGTAAATCTTTGTTCGATGAAGTTTAATTCTCATCAAAGTTGGATGAATCATATCACGTTCACCACAATTGCCATAGCAAATTTTTGTTATGTAATTTGTTCTCGATGACACATGACTGACATTTGAATTTTGAGATCAATTGTGACAGTGCTATATAATTTCTACATATTTTGATTTTCACTCAACAATATTAAAGCATTATATAAAGTTATACAACGCAAAAAAGAAAAAGGAAATATACTTTATTAAAAACGTTACTTTCAATAATAAATGTTTTCATTCCTACTTCCTAGGCAACTAATTAAAGGTTGATTAAAACTACACGTATATTTTCTTTAACATTAAGTTTGACATTGTGCCACTTGTCGTACAACGAATGACCAGTTTTAAAATGAAAAATACTTTTCCGTCCATACATTTTTGAATTTGCAAGAATTTGCAAGAATTTGCAAACAATGTTAAACTCCATGTACAACATGGAGTGTACAAGGAGCATTATTCGATTAAAAATTGCAACCGTAGCCAAACGGACCCACTCAGGTTACAGGAGCATTATTCCAGTTTTGTTAGATAAGAAAAAGATAATTAATTTAGGATATTATTAATGATTAATGCGGTTGGAAGGAAGCAAACCGACTCATCAACTTGACTCAGTGCTCACTCTTTGACTTTTACTACGCTTCCTTAACTCATTTGGGCGACCCAATGCCACTTTGCAAATGATCCAAGAAAATTGGATGGTGGATGATCAATTTTTTATGGAAGAAATTGCATTTACTTTCTAGTAACCCAAATAATTTTTAGCCCTGTTTGATAGTTAAATCCAACTCAACAATTAATTTTAACCATAAATTTTTCATGAAACTCACAACTTTTCCAACACACGTTTCATTAACTTCTATCAAAATCTACTAAAAATTTGATTTTAATCTCCACCAAATACTGACTTAACATATTTAATGTCTATTTGTTTGAGATGAAATTGTTATTACAGCCCTGATATACGCTGAAGTTTTGTACATCAATTGTATTAGACTTCTATCCAAATAAAGGTGTAGCATGATTGCTCTTACCATGTAATCTTATGACATTAGCACTATTCATATGTGACATTATAAACTCTGTTAAATATGTCCTCAATTGTTTTTAATTCCATTTGTTAATCCTTGCACTACACTATTGTCTTGTAAACAGGATGATTTCAATCTTTCATTTAGCGTAGAAGAAAAAAATAAGTAAACCAGAATACAAAAAATAAAGGAACGTAAGAGGGATAGAACAAGAGAAGCTAGACATGTATGTGTGTTTGTTACGGAGTCGAGATTAGTGTTTTAGGGTCCTTCGTGTGCTTACAAACACATACTTGTTACCTCGTATAAGAGTTGTGTAACACAATATGTTTAATGTGTTAAAAATTGATATGTTGAATTTTACTAAATGAGGTTTCCCTCCACTCACCAATGATGCATGCAAATCACTATTGATAGTAATTGTTATTGACAATTGAACTTGCCGCCTTAGCTTGACAAAGATTTTTGAGATTAAAAAAGACAGGTTCAATGAAATGTGTGATTAAAAACTGAATAAAAATTGTTAGATTAACGAAATGTATGATGAATATATTAGTTTCGTCCGCTTGAAATCTGAAAGAAGTTTTATCGAACGGCAAAATAATTCTCTTTGTTTTCCCGGTAAGAAAAATGAAGTAAAATAACAAATATTTAGGCATAATTATGGTGAAGAAAATATTTGCCATACCATGAACACTTTACAACATCGAGTAATATTTACAAAGATCATACTATACATTCTTAAAATGTTTACAAATTTTAAAAAGCAACAATTAAAGCTGCGTGAAGGAGAACTTTATAAACTCGTTCCCTGAAATAAAAAAGAATTAAGAAAGAAATGGACCAGCTTCATGTAAAACTGAACTAATCCAACTACTCAGAGTAGCCTTCGAGATTCAAAACCGAATTAAGCAACCAAAAGGACCAAACTAAGCAGCCGAAGGAGCGGGGATATAATGAACAACACCAGCCTCCGTAAGCAGCGCCGGTATCGATTTAGCACTACGACCGGGACCCCTGTTGTAATTCAATGTCTCGTCGTTATAAATGTCCCGCCACTTATTCACTAGCATCTTGATGTCTTCTCTGTCCATGTTTTCTTCTTCTCCAGTATACCTCCAAGGTTTGGAGCCTGCAGCACAGTAGTGGACCACCTTAACTTCATCGAGCTTCACATTCTCGGGATGGCGCCACAGCATTGCCAAAACCAAGTTGTAATTATTGGGAATTGGCTTGTAAATATCTTTGAAGAACATGTTCAAGAAATCCTGCAAATGTAACATATAATACACTTTAAATTTCATTTCATAGAAATACTTGTCAAGGAATTTTCTGATTAATGGCTGTGTTATTTTACCTGCTCAGCAAATGAAGTTGGAGTAGTAATTTTGAGTTTGTGCAAGAGATCATGGTAGGTGGGGAGACTTGGTTCAAAGACAAACATCCCAGCATTGAAATAGAGAGGAGGCCTAGGACCCAATTCTTGAGGCCAATGGACCTTATCTGGGCACTGTTGGCAATACCCAATCTTGAATTGTGGGGTGTGACTCCATGTCTTCTCACAAAAACAGTCCATCACAGCATAGAAATACTCATTTGGCAAATCAAAGAGGTGATCTATGTTGTCAAAAACCTGTATGTCTCCATCCAAGTATATCATCTTGCTGTACTCCACAAACTGCAATTAAAAACTAATTCTGTTGAGCATATCATCGAACATATGATATGCAAAATCTACTTTCATAGTATGATCATTTCATTCTAGAAAAATTCAAGGATTTTTACCTCCCAAATCCGAAGCTTTGAGTAGTTGATGACATAATAAGCCATGGCAAACTGTGTTTGATTTTCCGGAGGATAAACCGGTTCAATTTCCCGCACTATGCAACCCTGTTTGATCAATATCTGGCGGTGCTCCTCCGGAACGTCCGGCAGAACAGCCACCACAAGTGGGTACGCAGTGTTCACTTTCCTCAATCCCTTGGCCAAGCCTACGACTCCTTTCACATAGTCTCCGTTGCCCGCCAAGAAAGTGACATAGGCACGGCTAGACAAACTGGCGGCCTTAACTAGACCACCAACGGCGCCGGTCCTGGTTACAATATCACGAGCCATTTTATGAATTTTTTGCAACTATGGGAGTAAATAAGTAGAGAACTACTTGAAAACAGGTGGGTTTTACAAATGTAATTGTTTGTTTTGCTCCAAGGTTGTGTGATGAGTTTGCGTATTCTTGTAGCCGGTATGGCAACCTGTTATATAGAGTTGGCGAAGATTAAAAAATAAAAAATGTTAGTGTGACAGAGAGAGAGAGGGACAAGGTGTCACTAATATATTGCATGAAATGTAACAGTACGTGGACCAATCTAATAAGGACAAGTTTTTGCCGACATCGTATGACGTCATTTCGTAGTTGAAAAAATTATGGCATTTTACACGAAACGAAATGAAGTGGGCACATGGCCTGGAGCTTCAGGGGCGGTGCTACTGAAGAAGTCTAGAAAATCATTTTTCGCCATTTATTTTATATTTGGAGAAATTATAATTTTTTATTTTTTATTTTTATTTTTATTTTTATTTTTTTAAAGTAAGGGGCCAATGGATTTAACGTAATGTATATGTAAACAAAATTAGTGTTTAAATGTATTTAATATGTAATTTTAGCTCGTCTTGATAAAAAAAATTTTAATCCTGCATTTCATTGAATAATACTATCTAACACTAGTAGTGCTCAACAACAATTTATGTGTCCCATATCATAATATAACCTATTAAATGGATCATAATTCCTTATGTTTAATTAAAACTGTAATTTAATATCAATAGTAAATAACATTTCTCTTTTAAAATTGGATATTTAAAAGTTCTATTTTCTTGGTTGATTATATAATGTGTTGGTTATTTATTTTATAATCACTCTTAGTCAAACATGAATACTTTGATTTGATAAAAAAAATATAATGTGAATATAGTGAAGATGAGTAATATGTCCTACAAAATATGTGAATAGTAGTTTTTTGACTTTATCTTATAGCCTTAGAAATATATTATAATGAACTCTAAACAAGCATTTAAGTTTGAACATTTTAACTGAAATCAAACCTTTCGAATCCAAATAGAATAGGAACCAGATGTTTCGGTTCCAAAAAATAAAATAACATCTAAAATCAAGAATTAACTGGTTTCGAGTTGGTTCTTGATTACTAAATCAAAATCGTGAGTATCCGAATGAAATCAATTTTTATATAATTTTTTTTACTTTTTACAATTTATAGGCTAGATACAAAAAATTGTAAAACCTATAAACTTTAATTTCGATAGTAATTTATCAAATCTCTGGACTTTGGCCCTAAAAAATCATAACTGACTCTTATTTTTTGCCTCTCGCTTTAAATCAGATTATTGTATTTTAAAGGTTATTAATATGCTAATCATTGCAATTTAAAATTTCTATGAATAAGAAAGTTTAAGTTAGGATTGTGCTGTAAGTTGATGAATCAAACCATACATTCTTTGCAATTCGAACTTTTTATTTTATTGCATTATTTACAAATTTTTGAAGTTTTTTTAATTTTTATATAATGAGTGACAATTGAACTTGATATATTCATAATTTGGACCATGGTGTATCTTTTTTATTATCTTGACTTCGGGTTTCTCTTTTGAAATATAGTTTTTCCTCTTTTAATCAAAAAGAGCGAGTACATTATGTAGATTTCAATTTCATGATGCTATATATTTATATATCTGGATAGTACTTTTTTTAATGTCAATTCATTTTCAAAATAGAAGAATTTAAGCATTGTCAATAATTAAAAATATAGGCTTTAGAATGCTTCATTATATTTCGAATGAATTTATTAAGAAACAATTATTTCTTCTCGAATTGTAATTTAACTTTTGATGTTTTGAGTTATGTAGCTAGCCCTTGTTTGATTTTCATTACATTACATTCTATTTTTCTCTCTCCTATTTTCAACCACACAATCTTCCATAAAATAATATTACACGTAAATCGAAAATTTTTCTTTCTTTTTCAACCACTCATTTTTCAAAAAACACTATTCTATACATTAAATTTTCCCCGTAATGGGGGCCAAACAGGGGCTAGTTTTCTTAGCTAGATTTTCTCCCTTGCATAATATTGTCAAATATTATCATAGGTATACATATGGAAAGAACCTATATGAATTGGCTTTGGTTTTAATAATTACAAGGACCTGAATAGTTTTATTTACGAAATATCCGAAGTTTAATGTGTGGTTCTAGGTATTGAAATAACCAGATCGACTCACCTAATGCACAAACCTACAAGCATTTGTTGGATCTTCAATTACTCTCCACTTATTATTCATTAATTATGTTAAATCGATAACTTATCACTAAAATCATTATTTAAACTCCAATCAAACATTCACTAATAAATAACTACTAAACTAAATTATCTTAATTATTAATGCATATTCGCATTTATCAACAATTTATTGTATAGATTAAAAAAAATATGAAAATAAACAAGAAAAATTAAACTAGAAGCCAGTCATTTCTGATCATGTCATTTCAATGTACATAGAACCATTTGTTATTATTCGTAAGATTTCAAATGGTATTCGATTAAGATCTTATTAAACCATGTTCACTCCAATTATCATAGCAAAATTTATGTGGTGACGATTTTATTTTCAATTTCAAGTGAATTTTCATCCATTCGCGTAATTTTACTTAGTGAAACATAATTAGTACTCAAGTGTTGAGCTCAACTATCACAACACAACGTAATTTTTTTAACTATTATAATTTTTTGATATCTATGATTTTCATTAAATTGTTAAAAGCATATATAAAATCAAACAATACAATATATAAATCTTGTGTGTGTGTGTGTACATATATATATATATATATATATATATATATATATATATATTTTTTTTTTTTTTTTTTTTTTTTTTT